AGTGGTGCATTTCTTACTTCCCTGTAACATTATGTCTTGTGTTGTTTGATCAATGGTGGTTGTTTAAAACAAGGAAGTCATCAGTCATTAAGTGGCGATTCTGCAACTGCGAATACTAACTTTGACCCAGGAATTCAGTTCTACATTCCAACGAACCTTTCTTTAAAGAGCTGAGGGGCAGCCATGACAAATTTTAGAACAGTAAAAATATGTGCTGATCACAAAGGTGTAGAGAGCAGAGTAGATGAGTCCTTGTGACATCAAGAGATACTTGTGCCACGACATGCAACTGCTGGAGAAGTCAGGATGTCAGAGTTATTACTCTACGAAGGGCAATTGTGGACAAAATCACTTATGGGGTAGTTTTACATGTTATTTTTTTCCATGCCAGAAAAAGTATGTAAAACATCATGTTTGATTGGCTGTGTAAGTGTATACATTGGGAGAAGGGGTAGGAATGGATTCACCTTACCAGAGGCCAATGTAGGCTGATAAGTTCTATTCATGTCATAAAATAGAACTGTGTCTTTCATTATTCATGCAGCTGAATATATAGGATGGCATTGCAGGAGAGGTGGAGGTAGTATGTTACAAGTTTGTACCAGTCTCGATCTTGTGCAGTTCTTGACTTTGTTGTTGCATTCTCCCCTCTTCCTGATCTGCAAGGAGACTTATCCAGCTCCCAGACATGTTTCACCAATGCCTCCTCTCCCTACAAACTATTTCCTTCTGTTTTCCATAGAAATGACTTTCAGACACACATGATTGGTATGTGGTGATGGTATTCTTCATTTCGAAAACCTAAGCAGGTCTACTCTGAATCCTACTAAGGTCTTTTCAACGGGGCTTACTCCCAGGAAAGTGCTGTTAGGATTGCACTGTTAGATCCATATAACTCGATTAAAAAAGAATCATCGCAGAAATCTGAAATTTTGTTCTGTGGAAAATGCTTAGGGCTTTGTCTCTTTTTAAAAAAAATTGTGCCAGTTATGATACAAATATGAAAAGAGGGATCTAACCCAGCAATGAGATTCCCCCCCCCCCGAGCTCAGTTAAAGCAGACTATAAAAGGAAATATATATATAAATATATAAAAGGAAACAGAGAGTGAGTATAAATGGGCAATTTTCTCAGTGGAGGGTGGTAAGCAGAGGGGTACTGCGGGGATCAGTACTCAGTCCAATGCTTTTTAACTTGTTTATTAATGATTTAGAGTTGGGAGTAAGCAGTGAAGTGGCTAAATTTGCAGATGATACAAAGTTGTTCAGGGTGGTGAGAACCAGGGAGGATTGTGAGGCACTCCAAAGGGATCTGTCGAGAATGGGCGATTGGGCGTCAACGTGGCAAATGGGGTTCAATGTAGCCAAGTGCAAAGTGATGCATTGGAGCAAAAAAATCTAACTATAAATGCTATAACTATAAATCCTAACTATAAATACACGTTGATGGGGTTTGAACTGGCAGAGACTGACCAAGAGAGAGATCTTGGAGTCGTAGTAGATAACTCAATGAAAATGTCAAGACAGTGTGTGACTGCAATTTAAAAAGGCCAACGCTATGCTGGGGATTATTAGGTGGCGACAAGCATGGACAGCTTCAAGAGGGAACTGGATAAACATATGGAGCAGAGGTCCATCAGTGGCTATTAGCCACAAGGTATAGATAGGAACTTACAGGCTGGGGCTGGTGATGCACCGTATTCTTGGTGCTTGGGGGGGGGAACAGTGGGAGGGCTTCTAGGGTCTGGCCCCACTGCTGGACCTCCTGATGGCACCTGGCATTTTTGGCCGCTGTGTGACAGAGTGTTGGACTAGATGGGCTATTGGCCTGATCCAACATTGGCTTCTCTTCTTTTTCTTCTTCTTCTTATGATAACTGAACAGTGCTACTAGCAGAAGCTAGTACAGCAAGAATGAAAAAGTGCTAGGTACTGGAATGATATGTAGCTACATCTGGCCAATTAAAAAGTGGGTATTCTATACAGTGTATCTGCATAATGACATTAATAGACATGCTACACTGAATCAGATCTCATTAACACGAAAAAATACATCTGACATTCATTTTTTTTTAAAGGAAAGCATCTCCTGTTCCATCTGTATGCTGTTAGGACTAATAGGCATATAAAATGAAATCTTCCTGACTAGTTAATGGTTGCTTAAGAATTCACTGTATTCACCAGTTGTCACTGATATTTTAAAACTGACAGGATTCAACATCCAATTTCCTTCCAAGTAAGAACAATTTTATTATGAGCATAAAAACTGTGGCTGGTGATGACATTACGTGGCACTTTAAGCTAAAATCCTTTTTTTTTGGGGGGGGGGGTGGTAAACAGATTTTGGCCTTATGGGCATCCCAAAGGATGTCTTAATTTATGAAGAAAACATAACTAAATACTTCCAGTGATTAAATGATAGGTAAGCTTATGAGACCAGTGGATTTGGAGGCTTTACAGTGGATCTGCACATATATAAAGCTCTTAGCAATGTATTATTTAATTTTTTTTAAAAAAAAATACTAACAAGTTGCCCCAGTCCTGGCCCTTGTATGCATTGGGTCATATACACATAACTCCTGCACGTGAAAGGCTTCCTACTGAAAGAACAGCTGAATGCACAAATTGTTATGCATGTGGAGTTGATTGATTTATGGAATTGAGTGGGGAAGCTTAGTTGTACATGTGAGATACTCCAAATTTCCATCACAGTTAACATATCACATTTACTCACTCTGTCTAATGGCATTATGGATCACAGCTGTTAATGTACTGAGGACATCAATGCACATCTGCACAAAATCATTGATAAAGGTTAACAAGTACATTTCCCAAGAAAGTAAAATGTGCTTCTTTTTTAAAAAAGCTACATTTGCAAATATTAATGTGAAAACACTTGTGTCAGTCAAGTTATTACAGTGTTATTATAAAGTTACAAAAAGCGGGGACCTGCAATACTCATGGGGGGGGGAGTATTCCCCACGCCTCCCAGCCTGCAGAAGCAGCAGGAGCTCTGCAAGGAGGAGGAGGCAGCCACAGGTGAGCCCAGCAGGCAGGGCCACCCAGCCCACCAAGGCTTCTCCCCACCCCCCGACAGCAGCAATGGCAGTGAGCCCTGCCCGGCTCCAAGCTGCACGGCCCGCCAAGGCTTCTGCCCCCGACAGTGGCAATAGCAGTGAACCCTGGATAGCTCCCAGCCCCCCACCCTGGATAGCTCCCAGCCCCCTGATCGTCAAGGCTTCTCCCCGCCAGTGGCAACAGCAGTGAGCCTTGTGCGGCTCCCAGCCACCCAACCCACCAAGGCTTCTCCCCCTCCCAGCGGCAATGGTGGTGAGCCCTGAGAAGCTCCCAGCCGCACGGCCCACCACGGCTTCTCCCCCCAACAGTGGCAATGGCAGCGAGCCGTGCGTGGCTCCCAGTGGGCATGTTCTCTGTGCATGTGCAGGGAACACTCTTTTACTTTGGGAAGATTTAATTCTCCCTCTGAGGTGGAGGCCATCTTGTGGGTGATTCCCAACCATCTCTAAGGGAGGCAGGAACTTCAAACTGTTTCCTGTTTCCTGTGTTGGGAGTCGCCCTCAACTCAGTTTTCTTCCTGCCTCAGTAGGGAGAGCAGTAAAAATTTGGCTTCGCTTCTACTTTCACTATTTCAAACTGCTTATCTTTCTCTTCTTTCCTGTTTTCCACTCTTTTACTTTGGGAAGATTTAAGTATCCTCTGTATAGTTTTTTTCAGCATTTCAGATATTTCTGCACACCTGGGGAGTGCCCCAAATGTGCAGGAAAATCTGTATACCCTTCATGTGCTCCTGATGTGCAGATTTAGATATCTGGGTTCATTACGCAGACGGGATCCATGGCTATTAGACATATAGATCACATTCAGTCCCTTTAGGCTACCTTCATTGGTATAGTCACATAAAAATACAGCATTGGACATAGCTGCTATCTATCTGGAACTTTCATCCAAACCCTCCAAGAAGAAGGAGATTTGGATTTATACCCTGCCCTTCACTCAGAGTCTCAAAGCAGCTTACAATCTCCTTCCCTTCCTCTTCCCACAACAGACCCCCTTAATTCCAATTCAGTAATTTTTTTCCTAATGAAGAGCAAGAACTCTTATGTATCATAACTACGCCACAACCCTCTGGAGCTTCCCTATTCATTCTAATGAAGTAAATCAATCTTCATGGACTTTTTTTTTTTTGTACAGAGCTCTGCTTCTTCCTTTGGAATAACTCATGCAGCCCCCAGTTTCAAGAGATTTGGGTGCTCATTGATCTGAATTTTTATACATGTCCGAGTTGGGGTGGTTTCTCATCTCAGATCTCGACAGAGTGAAATAGTAGTGACCCATATCCTAGGGTTCTTCTCATGGGATAAATGGTATAAGTATTTTTGTTGAAGATTAACCTAGTCTTAAAATATGCTTTGGCCACACCGACACGTTTAAGATAGGAAAGACTATTTCTTGCTGCACCAACATAACATCTCGAAACATGACATTTTGCCAGGTCTGTAGGCAGATCATCTGGCACGAACTGTTATTAAAGAACTATATAATTAATGCAAAATTATAACACTCAAAATTACATCTGCAGTTTGAAGGCGTATATCAAATCTGGCCTAATGGATTTTGAAAGGATTGAATTGTTCCAAGTACCTCAGTGTTTCTCCCAATTAAAAAAAAAAATGCATTCTATCGTTGGCACTTCAGTTATTACCACCTTCAAACTGAAAATGGTCTTGTGTTCCAAATAATGGAAGCTGTGCCAGAGCCTCCTTAGTTTCATCGTGTTATTCCCAGCCTTATGTGTATGTTTCCTGACTAAAGTATGATTAGTAAATCAAAGTGAACTATGGAAGGCAGAAATAAACATGAGATTGCCTTATTTATAATTCCCTCTGTAGATGGATTATAGCCCAGATTGTTTCTGTCATTACTGTGTTTCAGGCAGTGTATTGTGGCATGCTTGCTTTTGTCTGTTCTTTGCACTCCCTAGGTTGAAACCAAAGGCCTGACAAATCCATTTCTTGAAAGCAGAGGGAAAGCTCCAACAGCTCCCAGAGAGCTTCCTTCTTCCCAGTACATAGGGTGGCGAATCACCGCTGCCTTGTCCCATCATTTCCTGCCGCCTATTGGGCCAGACATCCCTTTGCCACACCAGCCTGCATGGAAGCCACCACCGTCAGTGCCGCACCAAGACTCCAAAATACCTGTTAGGGAGAAGAAATCTGCAAGCCAGTCTATAAGGTATCAACTTCCTGGGGTTAAAATTCTGCCTCTGCGTGTTGTTTGTGTGATATATAAAGGCATTTTCTTTGATGTTCTTATAACCCTTCCTGTTTCTACCAGAGAAGGCTGGGCAAAATCCTGTTTGGGAAGGAAATTAATCTATCTGGATCATACCTTAGGAACAGAACACTGGTCTGCCTCTCTATTTGTCATTTCATCTGGGTTCATTACACAGTTTAAAAATAAGCCCTTCAATAAAGGAAATATCTGGCATAGAATGTCATGAGATCAAAGCTTTTGGAGTTTATTTTGAGACAGGTACTCTAGCAAATCAGCTACTCAAAAAAGCAACTAATAATCAGAAGAAAATGAGAGAGTTTGACAGAAGACACTGAGCATAAATGAAGTCTTCACAACCCATCTCTGCAGTTTTGCCACATCCTACAAGAGCTTCAAAGTGATGCTACAATGTGATTTTAATCCCAGGAATTGGAGTGAGAAGGAAACTGTGTTAACAGCTTCTGTCCATACTCTTTTTTTGCTCTTTATGCCTGGAACTCCAAGTATCTGTGTGGTGCCCCCTCCAAATCCTTTCAGTACAAGTACTCACAGGGCCTTTACCTTCTGGACCCGGTATGGGATCCTGTGTATACACAGGCACTACTGGAGGTGATATTTGGGGCAAAACGAGAGAGGGGTTTACAGGTTTGAACTAAATTGATGTTTATTGAATGTTGATAGAAAAGCAAAAGTGGAATGCAAAAAAGAAATCACTACAGTATAGTACACCAAACTGGAGACTGCAATGAGAAAGAATTTAAACATATGAAAACAGTAAATTGAAGGAATTAAAATCAATTAAACAGCTGCTACTGGAAGCAGTCACATTAAGCTACATGTGTCTGCTAATGGCTACTCACCATGGAACCCATCTGTGGTTGCATGTGTGGTATCCCAAGAGAGAAGAAAATAATGTACTGGAGACTTACTTTTTAAAAAATATCTGTTTATTTGCAGACGTATTTACTGAGCAAATATTAAATGCTGTAGAAAAAATGCACACACCAGACAGCAATTATTCAAACAATAAAGCAGTACCTTTTGAGGCCAAATGTTGCCATCCCAAAATCTCCAGAAGCCTTGCTTAGCTCCAAAACACATTTTTTTTTCATTTCTCCCTCCAACAACATGTTTAAAAAGTCCCTCACGGTTCTCTTTGCCAGGCAGTTTTCAGTTCCCATCCCTAGGAAGGGGGTGGAACATGTTCTAGAAGCCTAGAAGAGTTCACAGTCATCCCAAGGATCCATCCCGAGTACTGTGAAGCCTAATAAGAAACCTACTTTCATAAGGCCACATTGAGGGATGATCCAGTTAGTCCTGTTCATTTGCCATTAAACACATGTCTGGAGCAACACTGATGGGAGGGACTCAATCATATGCTGTCCCTAATATTACATATATTGAGCACTGTATAATAAGTTTCAACATGCTTAACATTTATGCAGCAAAAAAGTAAGTAACCTTAGTTCCTGAGAACTAAAAAAAATATATTCAGCATCTGTGAGTTGACCTAGCCTCCATCCCTCCACTTAGATCAATTGGAAGACCTAGCATCCATCCCTCCATTGAAAACAAAGGGTAGACCTGGCTTCCATCCCTTGTGGCAAACAAGTGCCTCTGTTTTCTCCCATCTAGAGATGTTATAGGACATAACAGGACACCTGAGTGTCCAGTTGACATTGACAGGGAGGTTGTGGAGAGGCACCTGGCTGCACTGGATGAATATAAATCCCCTGGGCCAGATGGTGTGCACCCAAGAGTGCTCAAAGAACTGTCTAATGAACTTGCAGAGCCTCTGTCCATCATCTTTAAGGCCTCCTGGAGGTCTGGGGAGGTGCCACAAGATTGGAGAAGAGCGAATGTTATCCCAATCTTTAAGAAAGGGAAGAAGGATGACCCGGGAAACTACAGGCCGGTCAATCTGATTTCTGTTGCTGGGAAGATATTAGAGCAGATTTTAAAGGGATTGATCTGTAAGCATCTGAAGGACCACTTAGTGATCTGGGGAAGTCAGCATGGTTTGTCCCTAGCAGATCTTGTCAGACCAACCTGTTTTCCTTCTTTGATCATGTGATGAGTTTACTGGATTGTGGGAACTCTGTTGATGTGATTTACCTGGATTTCAGTAAAGCTTCTTTTTTTCCTTTT